TTTTCTTTTCTTTTCATTCCATCTTTTTTCTTTTTTCTTTGTTTCTCATTTTCTTTCTTAACCAAGATTTAATGTATATTTCTTTTTAACATGTAAAACATATACTATACAGATTTCACACTGAATAAATAATATTCAGTAAGCCAAAAAGAGAAACGGAGGCGTTTACATCAAGTTTTTAGCTACATTGATGAAATACAAAGATGCACATTTTATCACTGAAAAAGATAACTCAATGTATTTCCTCATCAGGAACATCACCTCGACCTAGAACATTTTCACACCCCAATTAGAAAGGAAACAAAACAAAACAAAAAACCCAGAAAAAAATAAAGTATAAATTGATTGGCTGTCGAGACAGCAAGGACTTTTTATAGAGACCAGTATAACATCTCACCAAGGGGGGGGGGGGTGGGGGGATGTCTGGGGAGAGATTAAATAGCTGCATCTGGCTTTGTGCAGTTCACCAACTTGTTAACTCATCATACTAGAAAGGGGTAGCCAGGAGGCAGGGGACCGAACTGTGGCAGTTCGAGGGGATGTGCAGTGAACAACATCATATATACACACACGTGGCAGCGCAGCCGCTGCAGCTAAAGGTTAAAAGCAGCTCTAAGCCGGGCGGTGGTGGCGCACGCCTTTAATCCCAGCACTCGGGAGGCAGAGGCAGGCGGATCTCTGTGAGTTCGAGACCAGCCTGGTCTACAGAGCTAGTTCCAGGACAGGCTCCAAAGCCACAGAGAAACCCTGTCTCGAAAAACCAAAAAAAAAAAAAAAAAAAAAAAAAAAAGCAGCTCTAAGAGCTGGCCTCAGGGTTATTCCCACAACCAAGGCGGAGAGAAAGAGGTCAGGGTGTTGTATGTTCACATGTGACACTTGGGGGGGGGGAAGCCTTTTATTTTTTCCCCCTCAACATTTAACTAAAAACAGTTTTTAAAAACCACAGCTTGATACTGACCCAGTGTCTTCTCTCATTCCAGGTGAGACATTATTATTAAAGGATGTTTACAGTATCAGGTGTGCAGAGCAGTTCATGAAAGGGTCTACACTCTACTGCACAGGCCTTTCCAGTGAATAGGGTCTGCTCACAACTACGACCTTCTCGGCTCCTGTGAGATTGTGAACAGACAGCAATAAACCGCATAGCTCAGCAGTCTCCATTTCTTTTTCAGTTTTTTTTTTTAAAATTTCTTACTTATTTTAACCATGAAGAACAGTTATGAAATGTGGCATCCTGTGATTCAAGAACCAGGAAAGTCATCCCACCCCTCAAACTCACTGTAAACAACAGTTACTTTTTTTAAATAAAAAAGTCTATGTAGGCAGAGATTTATCTTTTCTAATAGAGTGGGGATCTGAGGGAAGCAGGTGAAGATGAGGAACAGAAATGTGCGTGTGAGGGCGTGGGGGTGGGGAGTGATCTCCCCAAGGAAGAAGCTGGACAGCACAGGGTAAACTGAATTTTGAGGTGGCTTTGCATAAATAAAGGGCTGCAGCCAGTTTTTAATTCTCCACACATTCACACACACACAGGAAAGAAGATACCCCACGGCCCGTCATGACTGACTAATCAAAATCAGTACATGATGAATGACTTGAGAAGTCAATGAGTTCATCAATGTTGATACCAAGATGTCCAGCTTTCCTTGAATGGAGTTCTGTCGGCCCAAGAAAAGGCTGTTGGTAGGAAGATCTACTGCTGTGGGATCTATTCCTGTACTCCTTTTGTTCGGCAGACTTGGGGGAAATGGGAGAGCGTGGTAGTGTGTGCAACTCTGTGGGATGAGGACAGATACTTCAATGTAGTCTAGTTCAGGGATCGTCTCGAATGTGGAGCTCTGTGTGATGAGAATATACTTCAATGTATTCTAGTTCAGAGATCGTCTCGAATGTGGAGCTCTATGGGATGAGAACATACTTCAGTGTATTCTAGTTCAGGGATCGTCTCGAATGTGGAGCTCTGTGGGATGAGAACATACTTGAGTGTATTCTAGTTCAGGGATCGTCTCGAATGTGGAGCTCTGTGGGAGGAGAACTTACTTCAGTGTATTCTAGTTCAGGGATCGTCTCGAATGTGGAGCTCTGTGGGATGAGAACATACTTCAGTGTATTCTAGTTCAGGGATCATCTTGAATGTGGAGCTCTGTGGGATGAAGACAGATACTTCAATGTAGTCTAGTTCAGAGATCGTCTCGAATGGGGAGCTCTGTGGGATGAGAACATACTTCAGTGTATTCTAGTTCAGGGATCGTCTCGAATGTGGAGCTCTGTGGGATGAGAACATACTTCAGTGTATTCTAGTTCAGAGATCGTCTCGAATGTGGAGCTCTATGGGATGAGGACAGATACTTTATCATAGTCTAATTGAGGGACCATCTAGAATATTGCAGAGTTCCCTTTTTCTTTTCTCTTCTCATAGTCTCCTCACTTGGTAAGTACTTCCAAGGACCCTGAATAGAAGGCTCTTCAAATAATTTCTCTTGGCTCACACAAAATGCACCCAGCTGTAAGATGGTAGTACAATGTGAGCTCTCACCTTTTAATCAGATTTTCCCAGTACCACTTTATAATGCTAGAACTTTCCGTTTTAAGAAAGATATTTCTATTTATCCGTAATCTCTCTTTTTTGTTTATGTTCTCAGTAACAATATTATCCCTACTCTTGTGGTTACAACATAATGACTCATAAAGTGAGGCCCAACTGGAGGTTTCCAGAATGCAAAAGTGCATCTTCTCTCTGCCTCCTCCAGGCCCTCAGACACACCAGTCTATCCTCCTCCCTGTCTCAGGACCCATTGCCTGAAGGGCATCAAACGTATCCACACTGAAGCACTGCCTTGTGATCTAAGATTTTTAGACTAGACTTCACTCAGCTAATGTTTAAACTAACGCCTCCACTACAAGTCTGCTGCTCACAGAGGTACAGGAGCAAGCACACTGGGGCAGGAAGTATACTGTCTCTGATCCTTGCGGAGGTAGTGACTGTGACTCTTTCCTTGTCGTCTGTGGTGGGTCTCCCCTTTATCTGAAATAAACTAAATGGAAAAGAACGTGTGCAAAGGAGAAGAAGGAAGGTAGGAAATGGGCTACCATTTAAGCCACGCAATCAAATTAGGTACAAGTCCTCATATGAGGGTTGGGGGAGGCAACCTAATACAGGAGAAAACGGTTCCCAAGAGCAGAAGAATTGGAGAACCACTCCCTCCCTTTATTCTCAGTTCCCTTCCCCTCCTTTTCACTCTTTGTCTCTCTGCAGTTTAGTCAGGAGATCTTGTCTCTCAGTCCCCTTCCCAGGGTGATCCATAGGACTCTCTTAGAGTCCTCCTTGTGACCAGCTCCTCTGGAACTGTGATTTGTTGCTTGGTTATTCTTTGCATCTACTATCCACTTATGAGTGAGTAAATACCATATTTGCCTTTCTGAGTTTGGGTTACCTGACTCAGGATGATTTTTTAAAATTTTTATCTGATTATATTTTATTAACATTCTTTTTTAGATAGAGAGAAAATAGGCATGTGGATTCTGGTAGGGCAACTTGAGGAGGACCTAGGAGGAAGGGAAACTGCAATCAGGATATATTGTATTAAAATTTTACTTTCAGTTAAAAAAACCTTTAGTGTGAGATTTCCTTCAAATAAAAGGTAGAAATACAACTCCATGTCTTATACTTTTAATGCTCTAGATTTAATGACATACAGACTGTAAGTAAGCGTTTCTTCATAATTTTGACATGTTTCCCTATGTACTCCAGGATAAAGAAGCTCAGCAATAGGAAAGGGTGCCTCAGACCAGACACAGAGAGAATCTATTCCTAGTGTGCATAGCTGCAGAAAAGATGGAGAGAAGCAACTAACAAAAATGACAGGGTCGCTTTCCCTCAGCCCATGCTCTTTCCTGCTGTTCTTTTTGAATTCTGTTTTGGGGGAGTGTCCTTGAGCTAAGCTATAGCTGAGACTCCCAGGCATTTGGCCTGTGATGTTCAGGCCTTTTCTCCTAACCATCAGTTCTCTGCTTTGACAGACAGCAGAGCAATGTAGTCACCAGAGTTCGAAGATTGCTGTGATTGTAGCACATATTAATTTAAAAGGTTAATAACCAATGCCCATGTCTGAAATGTCATTGTCAACCTCATTGTTTCTCATTGATTCTCTTTTCTTCTTACAACTCATTTATTTGGAAAAGATTGATATCTCTTCCCTTTCCTAGATTAATTGAGCACTTCATTCATTTAGTACTTATGAGTTCATGAGGCCAAAATGTCCCTGAATATCAGGCCAAGAAAAGATCTATTGAACACAGGCTTCACTCATGACCTGTTTTATGACCTCCGGAGAGAGTACACCATGTCTCCGTGTCTTATCTTCCCAGTGCAATCCTCTCAACACATAGAGCCCATCACTCGTAGATGAACTGGAGACTTATCTCGAAGACTCTGAGTGAGGAAATAAAAGTGAACATTGGAATGAACAAAATAGTCACAGCCTCTGAACTGTTGTCCTTAAACCAAATATCTCTGTATGAGGTAGGTCATGTGGGTCTCCCAGAGACAAAGCCTTGTTGAGGACTTCTCCAGGTTAGTGCCCTTCCTAAAATAATGACAATGGAGCCTTTTTTTAAAAAAGAAAATATTGATTTAAATGACTCCTTTTCCTACCCTGCTCTGTCTTTCACACACACACACACACACACACACACACACACACACACACACACAAACAAATTAGTAGATATTCTCTGTTAGTATTTTTCTATTTTGATAATTGTTTCTTTACCTATTTATCTATTTATTATCTCTCTATAACTTTTAATTTCTGGTTGTTCTCTGATTATAGTTTTAGACCTTGTTGAATTATATTTTAGAAACAGAGAAAGGGAACTTTCCCTTAATTAGGAATCTGGGTGGATGGAAATGTGTCCTCAGAATCAAGCATCTCTGTCAGCGGATCTCTGGTTGTTGTCTTTTTTTTTTTTTTATTTGCTGTCAAAGGTACCGTGTTTACCGACATTCCAAGGTTTGTTGTGTATCTTCATAAAATGTTGGTCTTCTCAGGAGTTCAAGTTATGTACATCACCTTGTCCTTTCTTCTATGTTCTGGTGAGTACATTTTGCTGCACTAGATGTGAACCTTAAACATAATCTACAAAAACTCGGGGGGGGGGGACCTCGGAAACACCAGAAATGACTGAATGAGCTTGTCTCACTGGGGTTGTAGTACTTGAACTGGTCATGTTAGGAATGTCTCTAAAGTGGCAGCAGTGGATTGTTCTTCTAACTAGTCCAGTTGGAGAAGTGAGAAGAGAGCAGTGGGTTAGGACAGGCTGGGCTGGCTTTCAGCCTCTGCTCATTTGTCCTCCAGATTTCTAACAAAATGCTGTTATCAAATGCAAAGTTGAAGACAGACTAATATCTTTAAATACGCCATTCTTTGAAGATGCAATTTATTTGACAGCTTTTGGCTGTCTTAGATAAGGCCCACTTTATCAGTTGTTTGATCAACTATCAAGGTCAAGATTGGCTGTGGATTTCAAAGTGAGGCATTTGTTAAACATTGCTTAGAACATTGAAATTACTGCTGATTACAGTTTTTTTTCAAGTCAAGTGAAAACTCAAAATATATTTTGAATTCTGAGGTCAGGGTGTTTCACTTAATAATTGTATAAATTTAATATTTCCAGGTCTATTAACAAATGGAAAATAATACTTTTGTATATGAGAGCAGTATAAAAGACCGCTTTTCCTGGTATACATATATATCTGTGAATCAGAATTTTCTGAGCTTGCATGTATTTTTAATTATTTTTTACTAATGACACAAAATTCTCATCTATTCCTTATAGAGTTGACAATTCGCATACACGTGTGCTACATGTAAATGTAGGTACTGCTTACAAAGACAATATGAACAAGGTTTTTTTTAATACATTTTATCTGCTTTCTCTGTTTTGTTTTCAGAAAGTGCCATTATAAAAAGAGCATTTCATATACACGTAAGTTACTATCATTTCATCCAGAAATTGAAAATGTAAAATGTTCTTTTTTTATAAACTGAGTCATTTAATGTAAAATTTATTCAAGAAAATAAACTGTTCAAAACTTAAAACATGATATATTTTGTTACAATAAGTTCAAAACAGCAATCCTGAACTGCAAGATAGTTTATTATTGATGCAAGATGTGAGAGTATCTGTTTTTTTAAATTTAGTTTGCATACCAACCACAGTTTCCCTTCCCTTATCTCCTCTACTTCCCTACCCCACCTCCTTTTCACTGCTCCCCTCAACCACTCCTCCTCATTCTCCTTTCAAAAGGGGTAAAGCCTCCCATGGGAGTCAGCAAAGCATGGCATATCAGGTCAAGGCCAGGTCAGCTGTCTCTGTGGGTTTCCCTGTCTTGATCTTAACCCAGATTGCTCAAATTTTCCCTCCTCCTTCTTTTCAACTGGACTCCCAGAGCTCTGGGCAACTTATTATTGATACAAAGTTTAACAGTTAGTATCCTAATTCCAAATTTCAGCCATTGATAATCAGATATATAATTCAATATCTATACAACCCAGTGGGGTATAGTTCAGTGCTTAACTTAACATTAAAAACAGTGCCTTCCATATACTCACAAAGCCGAATGTTATTTTGAAAATAAATATTAAATTTGAAAATAAATATATTGTCCTTCTAAATATCTATATATCTGTGACATATATGTCACAAGAATGTATGAAAGTCACATGTATATAACATGTATAGCATTGATTTCTTTGTATAAATTACCAAAGTATCTAAAATTAATCATGTGTTTTTATTAAAATGAGCATACATGAGATGTATTGCCATGTAAATATACAGTAAATATGTACATTGAATTGCAGAGAAATTACAAAGAATGAGAGAATAATCAATAAAAAGTTAAATTTGGTGATGGGCTATGAAGGAAATGTCTGGTGGGGAAGCACAGATGTTACAATGTGTGTTGGCTGCCTTACAAGATCAGGTTACACCAGCTGTGTTGTGTTCTATTTAGCAGAGGCATAAAACTATAAATGTAATAATTACATGTTTTATATATGTTATATGTCGTTTATATCTATGTGTAGATGATATTTAAACCTTCTTGTGTGACATTATATACTAATAGTAAAAACAGTTTATTCAACAGCCTATGCTCTAATACGTTTATGATATCCTTGTGTGTTGTAGAAACAGTGTGAATCTTATAGTCCCCTTGGATATTGTAGCAAAGAGTATCTTCCAGTCTGTGCAACCAATCGCCAGACTTATGGCAACATATGCATTTTCTGTATTGCATACAAGTAAGAATACTATTCTCAAAATAAGTTATTCCTAAGTAATGAAAACTTAGTAGCAAAATCTTAGATTTGTGTGATTGATATTCCATGCTCATAATACTCAGAAAAAAATGACCCTACCATCCAATGTGCTATGAAAGGCATAGAAACATGTGTTCCTCGCTTTAATATTGTGAATTCTGAAATTGGCTTTTCTATTTGGGACTTAGAATAGAATTGTGTTGAATACTGTGCAAACACACAAATCCATTAACTTAATTATTAGGAAGTCCTAATTTCAGATATACAAACATTATGAAATAATTCCAAAGCTGATGCTCAATAGATCTCTGTTACAGTCTGCAATCTATCAGGTTAGCAAGAAACTCCCTGGGAGCATCCTCTTATCCCCTGAACTCCATGGAAGATTCTACACCACAGGATGCTCTCGGATCCCTCTGTCTAATATCCCTGTCCTTTGTGCTCTGTGATCAGATAGCTGTGTCTCATGTGTTTGTAGTTCCTCTGCTGTTTTATCTCACATGAGCTAAGTGACTTCCACTTCACAATCTTCTACTTACCATGTCTTTCTCAAGGCCTACTAACAATCCCCCATCTGGGCAAGCTCCACGACTAAGACAGAGCTGAGACAGTAGAAATGGTCCAGTCCACCCACAGCAGGACGTGTGCAGATGTCGGGAGCAGTCAGGGTTTAGTTGCTCATAAAAGGAGAAATTAATGTTTTCAATTCAGTTTTTCCCCTTTGAAAATTTCATGGCACACTTCTCAAGGAGTTTGAAGTAATCTTTCTGTAATTTCTTCAGACATTTTTGACCTCCTTTATTTTTTTCTTTGCAGAAGACACCGTGGTGCAATTATGGTGACACGGTTTGAAGCATGCTGAGTTTTAATGGAGCTACGTATCCCTGGGGATATTATTATGATTGCAGTTTTGCCCTGAAGTCTACAGTGGGTCAGAGATTGTGTCATCAGGTTCCCATAGCCCCAGAAGATTGGGTGAATCTCTGTGTAGGATCCACAAGAGAAGACTGACTGTCATTGTTCTTTTCATTTCTCAGGTCCTCTGGTCTCAAGGTTTTACTTCATGTAATGAACTACTTAATGACACTTAAATTCCTAAATCTTAATTTTACATTCTGTAAACTGACAACTTAAAACCATTAATGCCCTAGTTATGGTTCTTAATAAAATCGTAAACTCCACTGTTTATCGAGAAAATCTTTAGGGGGTTAGAAAGACTTCCTAGTGGTTAGGGAAGCTTGATAATCTCTGTGCAAACCCAAATTTGGTTTCCAGTGTTCATATCAGGTTTCTTATAACCTCCATCTTCAGGGAGTCCCATATTATCTTCTGTCTCCCACAGACACCTGCATAGACATGTTGCACATACACATTAATATAAACATAGACATTAATAAAAATAAATCTTTTAAAAACGGTGCTATTTCCTTCATTAGAATATGAGGTATCCCAAACATATACTTTTGACAAATACCTATGAGAAGCTTTGAAATGCTCATTTTTGAATAGTTTCTGTGGCAATGTCTTTTTCTGGAAGTAAATCTTGTCTCAGGAAGTGAACTTTTATAACTTGACCTTGCAAGTAAGTTGACCATAAGCATCAAGTCTATTTACTCTGAAGCATATTCTTTCTCTCTTCATGGGGACCCTTCCTTGCTCCTATGCCAGAACAATGCGTGTGTTGTGGAAACTGTTCACCTGAAGCACCAGGTTGAAAACAACCTTGAAAACAAACATGCCCTAGGAATATTGAAAGGAACATGTGGTTCTAGGTTTTAACAAAGGTTTTCAGTTGTGTGCTCTTCTGGGTCAGTATAGGATACTCTTCACTTTTGAAACCTTTTGAAATACCTTTCCACTTTAATCATTTATATTCACCCTGTATTTGATCTACACACACACATACATATGACTATATATGTGTTATATGACTATATATATGCATATTTATGTGTGTTTACTGTGTGATCTGTGCTTACTATGTGATGTGCGATATGAGAGTTAATGTTAGTAGCAGTGACTGAAATAAAGGGACCCATGTTTGCCTCAGCTGAAATCACCAGGGACAGCTAGAATTCAGCAAATGGCTGCCTGTGAAATCAACACACCTTGTGAATGCTTGATTCAATACATTAGGCACTGTGAAAATGCTAAATCAAACAGACAAGCAAGCAAAAATAGAAGACAAAGGAATCCCAGTTCTTTTTGTATACCATGTTATACGCACTGTTCAGCAAATACAGAGCCTTACCATTGCTGAAGACCGATGGAAGATGTAGAAGTAGGAAAATCAGATTGGGCTTACTCTTGATAGACATGGTACAAAAAAGATGAGTCCATTGTTTGATTTCCATGTGTTTGTGGGCTTTCTGGAATTAGTATTTCTGTTAAATTCTAGTTTAAATCATGGTGATATGATATCACCGTGGGGATCATGGGGTTATTACAATTTTTTTGTATTTTTTGAGGTTTGTTTTGTTACCGAGTATGTGATTTATTTTTGAGAAGATTCCATGAGGTGCTGAGAAGAAGGTATATTCTTTTAAGTTTGGATGGAATATTCTATAGATGTCTGTTAAGTTCATTTGATTCATAATATCTGTTAGTTCCCTTATTTCTCTGTTAATTTTTTGTCTGATTGAACTGTTTAGTGGTGAGAGTGGAGTGTTGAAGTCTCCCACTATTAGTGTATGTGGTTTAATACATGATTTAAGCTTTAGAAGTGTTTCTTTTACATATGAGGGTATCCTTGTATTTGGGGCATAGATGTTCTGTATTGAGATTTCCTCTTGATGGATTTTTCCTGTGACTAATATGAAATCTCCTTCTTTGTCTCTTTTGATTGATTTTAGTTTGAAGTCTATTGTGTTAGCTCTTAGGATAGCTACACCAACTTGTTTCTTAGGTCCACTTAATTGAAAAAAATTTTCCCAACCCTTTACTGTGAGGTGATGTATGTCTTTGAGGTTGAAGTGTGGTTTTTTTTTTTTTTTATGCAGTAGAAGGATGGGTTCTGTTTTCATATTCAGTCTGTTAGCCTTTGTCTTTTTATAGGTGAGTTGAGCCCATTTATATTAAGGGATATTAATGGTCAGTGATTGTTATCTCCTGTTAATTTAGTTTTTGTTGTTGGAATATTAATTTTGTGTTTTCCCCTTCTTTGGGATTTGCTACTGTGAAATCATCAATTGTCTGTGTTTTTCTTGAGGTAGTCAAATTCCTTGGGTTGGAGTTTTCCTTCTCGTATTTTGTGTAGGGTTGGGTTTGTGGCTATGTATTGGTTAAATCTAGTTTTGTCATGGAACATCTTGTTTTGTTTTTCTATGGTGATTGAAAGTTTTGTTGAGTATAGTAGTCTGGACTGGCATTTTTGGTCTCTTAATGTTTGCATAATGCTTGACCATGACCTTCTGGCTTTCATTATCTCCCATGAGAAGTCAAATGTAATTCTGATAGGTCTGCCTTTTTGTGTTACTTGGCCTTTTTCCTTTTCAGCTCTTAACAGTCTTTCTTTATTCTGTATGTTTAGCATTTTGATTATTATGTGGTGAGGGTATTTTTTTAATCCAGTCTGTTTGGTGTTCTGTATGCTTCTTGTATCTTCATATGCATATTTTTCTTGAGGTTGGGAAAGTTTTCTTCTATGATTTTGTTAAATACATTTTCTGTGCTTTTGATTTGGACCTCTTCTTTTTCTTCTATACCTATTCTTTGGTTTGATCTTTTCATCATGTCCCATATTTCTTGGATATTTTTGGTTAAGCTTTTGTTAGATTTGATGTTTTCTTTGACTGATGAGTCCATTTTCTCTATTGTATCTTCAAGGCTTGAGATTCTCTCTTCCATCTCTTGTATTCTGCTGTTTATGCTTGTGTTTGTGGTTCCTGAATTTTTTTTATGATTTCTGTTTCCATAATTCCCTTGGCTCATGTTTTCTTTATTGTCTCTATATTGTCAGTTTTCAAGTCTTGAATGTTTTCTTTCATGTGTTTGATTGCTTTTTCTTAGTTTTCTTTAAGGGATTTTCTAGTGTCTTCCCATTTTTTGTCTTTTCCTTTATTTCTTTGAGGTAATTTCTCATTTCCTCTTTAAGAGTTTCAAACATTCTCCTGAAGTTATTTTTTAGGTCATTTTCTTCTGCTTCATCTATATTTGTTTATTCAAGTCTTACACTGGTGTTGTGTTACTCTTTGTGGTGTTGCATGTGTTCTTACCTTGTCTACTCATCTTTTCCTCTAATAGGTGTGGTTGGGGCTATCTGTGATTCTGGTGATTAATCTTTTAGATGCCATTGAATCCAAGGCTCCAATCGATGGTTGTTCCTCATGGTACAGTCAGTGCCACTGTTCTAGTTACCCCATTGGCCACTCCATGTTTCTGGAGGTCTCCCAGTGCTCCTAGGCTTTCCTCGGCTCCCATAGAGTTTGCTCTGGCCTAGGTTGTTGGCTCAGACCTGTTTCTGTAAACATCCTTAGTCTGGATCTGTTCCTGCAGAGGTCCCTGGTTTGGGGTTGGTCCTGCAAAGGTCTCTGGCTCTGATCTAGTCCCTTGGAGGTCCCAGACTTGGATGCACCCAGACCCCCAGAGGATGTAGCTCAGGTCTATGCCTTCAGAGGTCCCAGACTCACACCTAGACCTGCAGTGGTCCTGGCTCAGGCATAGTTCCTTGGAGGTCCTAGACTCACTCTCAAACCCACAGGGGTCCTGGCTCAGGTCTACTCCCTCAAAGGTCCTAGATTCATGCCCAACCCACAGCAGTCTCTGATTCTGGCCCACTGAAACAGCAGTTGCTCCCCTGTACTGCTCCTGTGGAGGCCTCTGTCTCAGGTCTGCGCTGGCCCAGGTCACTGGGTCAGTCTTGCCTCTGCAAATGTACCTGATCTGAATCAGCTCCCACACTGTGACTTCAAAAAGAGGCAAACTCACCCAAGAGAACTAGATGGCAAGAAATAATCAAATTGAGAGCTGAAATCAACAATAGAGAAACAAAGAAAACAGTACAAAGAATCAATGAGACAAAGAGTTGGTTCTTCGAGAAAATCAACAAAATAGACAAATCTTTATCCAAACTAACCAAAAGGTGTTGTAAAAGGAGTGGCAGGCTGTGGCCCAGCACCTGGCTAGCTTTACCTGAAATAGTTACATGAAAACTGTATTCATTTAAACACTGCCTGGTCCATTAGTTATAGCCTCTTCTTGGCTTACTCTTACATATTGATTCAGCCCATTTCTAATAATCTGTGTTTACCACAAGGTCATGGCTTAGCGGGAAAGATTCAGCATGTCTGACCTGGGAGCTTCATGGTGGGGTTCTCTTGCCTGCTTTCTTTCTCCCAGTATTCTGTTCTGTCTACTCCACCTATCTAAGGTGCTGCCCTATCAAAGGCCAAGACAGTCTCTTTGTTTAACCAATAAAAGCAACACATAGACAGAAGACCCTCCCACATAAAAAAGGCAAAGAGTGAATACCAAATTAACAAAATCAGAAATGAAAAAGAGAACATAACAGCAGATATAGAGGAAATACAGAGAATAACCAGGTAATATTTCAAAAACCTATGCTCCACAAAAAAGGGAAATGGACAACATTATAGATAAATATCACTTACCAAAATTAAATCAAGACCACATAACCAAATTAAACAAACTTATAACTATTGAAGAAATAGAAACAGTCATCAAAAGTCTCCCAACCAAAAAAAGCACAGGTTCGTTTCAGCTCAGAATTCTACAAGATTTCCAAAGAAGAACTAATATCAATATTTCTCAAATTGTTCCATACAATAGAAACAGAAGTAACATTGTCAAACTCTTTTTATGAAGCTACAATTACCCAGATACACAAACCACATAAAGACATTATTAAGACAGAAAATTACAGACCAATATCACTTATGAATATTGATGCACAATTAGTAAATAAAATGCTGGCAAATCGAACCCAAGAACACATCAGAACCATTACCACCATGATGAAGTCAACTTCATCCAAGAGAT